CTCTCTCTCTCTCTCTCTCACACACACACACACACACACACACACACACACACACACACACACACACAATGACATTGCCCGTTTATACTTCTTTTGTTTTATGGATGGTTTGTGATGGCTTGTAGATGGAATGAGAGAGAGAGAGTTTGGGGTGTCTTGACAGCACACACCTCCTTTTTCCGCCGCCTGTTAAGGCCTGTGACATCTGTTGCATCTAGCTCATTGGGTCAGCAGGTGTCTTTGTGTATGGTCTTCTTCTAACCTCATCCATGACATGTTTGTCTGTCTTCTTTGCTGGATGCTATAGTGAATCAGCTCTGGGATGGTGAAAGGATCGTGAAGCACAGTTGATTGGGAGACTGGTGGGAAGGGATTGGGTTGCAGAACCTGGGCAAAGGGTCTCGCTCCACTACTTGCCAAATATGAGGAATGGGAAGTGTGTCTTTCCGGTTTTAACGGAAGCATATGCTTGCAATTTATCGCATTTCTGGAGTGGTAGAGCGAGGCAACAAATAACTGCCGGCCCTCGTACTGCATAGTTGTCATGACCAGCCATTGATTGATTGGTAGGTGGATGGATGAAATGGGTGGGTGGGCGGGTGGGCCTTCATTGGGTTGTATGGATTTCGTCGATTTGTGGATTCAACGGATGAGCCGAGAGATTGTTCTCAATTATCGATTTGATTCGATCCGATTCGATTGATTGATTGATTGATCAATTGATTGATCGATTGATTGAGTGATTGATTGATTGATTAACTGACAGAGTCAGTTGATTCGAACTCGACAAATTTGTCCGATTGATTGATTGATTAACTGACGGAGTCAGTTGATTCGAACTCGACAAATTTGTGTGATTGATTGATTGATTGATTGATTGATGAATTTGATTGGGAGATTTGAACCCTGGATTCAATCGATGGGTTGATCTGGCTGATAGATTTTGATTGACGGATCGGTCTATGGATGCAATTGATAGATTGATGAATACATTCCCCTTGATGTAGCAACAGAGGGAGCGGGTACGTGGGTGAGGAGGTGGTGATATTCTCTGGACACTGCTGGGTTTAAGTTTTAACTTTTAACCTGGTTAATAGTGGTTATGGTAAATCGAAGCCTCTTCCAGAGTTGCTCAACCCTCAGTTATAGTGCACGATCGTACGCTGAGGTGCCTCCTACCAGGCAGTGGATTTGGTCGCCTACCTTCTTCCCCCGAATACAATGTACGGTCGTTATAGCTGTATTAAGGGTATCTTTCAGTCTACATAGAGCTATGATGACCGTACGTTGTATTCGGGGGAAGAAGGTAGGATTGAGTTGAAATTTGAAAGAGGCCGATTACCCAATTAATCAGGGGGACAGGAGGCAAAACGAGGTTTCGTAACAGTCTGTATAGGTAATACCGGAGAAGTTCTCTGAAATGACTGTTCGGATGATGGATCGCAGAGGAGGATGACTGGTGCTGCTGGTGGTACTTACTCTTGTCTGGGACTTTGCAGGGACAGCGTACGAACAGATCGCAGAGATGTGCATTTTCCTCGTGAACGAGGTTGTTCTTCCCGCCGATGCAGCACTGGCAGTTTATGTGCAAGCACCCGGGTCCTCCTGGGAGTACCGCGGCGCCGTGTCGAATGCCCGGCCGTCTGCGGTCCTTCCCCTCGTCTGGCCCCAGCCTGCAACTGCAGTGCCTCAGCTCCCAGCACCTGGAGTGCCTCAACCTGTCTCTGGGCAAATTGGCATCTCTGTCGAACCGTTAACCAGTCTACCCGCCATGGATGTCGGCAATCTTAAAAAGGGGGAGGACTTTGCGCGGAGGGTGGCTGAGAACCTATTCAACTTCATGCAGTCCTTCTGCCAGAACGATAAGCTTGTTGTCTCTCCCGATATAATTGATCAGTGGTTCCTTAAGTTCCAAGAGAAGTCGCGCAGAGATCCGGAGTACATCACGCGCATGGCAGCAGGAGCGTGAGCACAAGGTACACGTTCATCCGGGACCGAGTGAAGACTGTGAAGTCCCAAGAAAAGTCCCGGTCAAGTCCCAAGAAAAGTTGCGCAGAGATCCGGAGTACATCACGCGCATGGCAGCAGGAGCGTGAGCACAAGGTACACGTTCATCCGGGACCGAGTGAAGACTGTGAAGTCCCAAGAAAAGTCCCGGTCAAGTCCCAAGAAAAGTTGCGCAGAGATCCGGAGTACATCGCGCTCATGGCGGCAGGAGCGTGAACAAGGTACACATCCATCCGGGACTGAGTGAAGTTCCAAGAAAAAAGTCCCGGTCATGTCCCAAGAAAAGTTGCGCAGAGATCCGGAGTACATCACGCGCATGGCAGCAGGAGCGTGAGCAACGTACGCCCATCCATCTATCCATTACTCGGTCTTAACACTGAATGCGCACTCTTCTTGCGGTCCTTTTCCTACGGGCCAGGCGTGGCTTTTTTCAGCCACACTTTTTCCCGATATCCTGTTGTTCTGCACTCGCTTGCTGATGTCATTTACTGTGTTGTGTTCGCTTATCCAGTTTGATCGTCAGACATCGTCAGACATGTTCGTAAAAATGTCCGACGGTGGGCGGGTCTTCTATTTGACGGCATGGTGACGTAGACAAAGAGGCAGGCGCGTGGAGCACTCTCAACAGATGAACTTGCAAATGAATCGTTCACACACTTAAGGATTCGTCTTTTTCAGCAAGGGTGCTTCGTGCCGCGGAGTAAAGTGACCAGCATCGAAAGAGGTAATGGTGATAGGAAGGTGATTGCCAACTTGTATTGCATTCATATGTATGTATAAATACTGCAAAGTAGTACCAATCCATTCCAAATGTCTGTCGACACGGGTCGGCTTCTCTCCGGCACTATGCAGTTGTTGAGGAGCAGGTTGCCTCAAATCAATTTTGAGAGGTTGTCGGTAGGTAATATCTACAAGGCGGGGAGAGAGAGAGAGAGAGAGG